CAGGCCCCGGTGCTCTGAAGATGAGGGCATTGGGGTCAGGTCATGTCTTGACATCCAGCAAAGGCATCTACTTTTGTTGGTAGCCACTCTGCCAGCCATGTACCATGTTGGGGTCTGCCACTTCAGAGAATAGCTCCTGCTCAACCTTGTGTAGCTCCTCAGCAGGGTCGTAGCTGTACATGGGGAGTGGATGATGGCCACGCTTGCTGGCCCACCTGCCTTTTCTTCGACATGCATTGCCTTTCACTGCTGAAGCCTCTAAAGGAACACCCTTGGTTGACACGGGTAGGGTCAGTTTTACATATTTGGAAGTTCCAGTATTCCCTGAATGAAAATATTTGTAAATAACTTAATTATCTAAGATTTCCCTTTCTTTCTTTCTTTCTTTCTTTCTTTCTTTCTTTCTTTCTTTCTTCTTATTATTTTTTATTTATTTTTGAGAAAGAGAGAGACAGAGACAGAGATGAGGGGGGGGAGGGGCAGAGAGAGAGAGGGAGACACAGAATCTGAAGCAGGCTCCAGGCTCCCAGCTGTCTGCACAGAGCCCAATGCAGGGCTCGAACTCATGACCCATGAGATTAAGATCTGAGCTGAAGTTGGATACTCTACCAACTGAGCCACCTAGGCACCCTAAGATTTCACTTTAAATAAGCATACTTCTAAAGAAGCATTAGAGAATACAGTTTTGTTTTATGTATTTATGGCAAATATTTATGAAAGCAAATGTATTTAAGGTAAAACTTTGTTTTCAAATATTTTTCCCATCCAATTTTGTTTTTTTTAATTACTGAAAAATAACATAGAAAGCAAAATTTGCCTTAGGCTTTGTGTTAAAACTCAAACATGCATTTTACAATAAAAAATATTGTTGCTGACAAGTTCCTATTTGATAAAAAAGTGACTTATAAAAATGGGATTTATCTTTTATTGGCCAAGGCTTAAGAGGAAAAAGGGAAAAGGAGGGAGCAGTCAGAAATATGTGGGCCAATTTGGAAATTTGGCAAGTGAGAGAAAATAACAAGAAGAGGCTGTTTGTTTTATTGTTTTTGTTTTTTTTTCCTCCAGTTTATATGTTTACACAAGGAGTCTTCAATTTTTGGGGGTAATAATTGTTACTTAGGATAAGAGTGAGTTATAAACCTGCCTAGAGACCAAGTGTAGGAGGGCTCAGAGGAAATCAGATTGGCAGTGGTTGATTAAGTGGGCAAGGAGAGGAAAGAACAAATAATTAACTGTCATATAATTCTATTCTGGCAGAAACAGCCACTTAGATAAGAGTCTAAACTCTGCTGTGAAATCTAGAATATCTTGATGGGAAGTAAGAAGTTTATAAGTAATGAAATCAAGTTGCGTTTTGACTTTACATTTAGTCCCTTTCTACCTCTGCTCAGGGAAATTAAATGCAGTTTTGATAAGTCACTCTTTTGGCTAAATCTTCAAATGATAGAGGGAGTTGGCCACATAGATGAGACTGATGTAATTGTCTGCTGCACCAGCTCTCAGCTAGAATTGTGGTGAATCCCAGTCCCCTGGGGAAGTTAAAAATTTTGTTACAAGGCTAAACTCTCTTCTTGAACATTTTGAGTAAATCTAGTAACATGTATACATAGACATGGATATTTAGAAAAAATTTTTTTTTGAGATTGTGCTACAACTGTTGGTTAAGAACTATTGGGGCGTGTGGGCGACTCAGTTGGTTAAGCGTCTGACTTGGCTCATGTCATCATATCATGGTTCACAAGTTTGAGCCCCGTGTTGGACTCTGTGCTGACAGCTTAGAGCCTGGAGCCTACTTCAGATTCTGTGTCTCCCTCTCTTTCTGCCCCTCCCCTGCTCGTGCTCTGTCTCTTTCTCTCTCAAAAATAAGTGGACATTTAAAAAAGAAAAAAAAAAAAGCTAACTACTGAATGGAGGGGTACCTGGGTGGTTCAGTTGGTTAAGTGTCCGACTTCCACTCAGGTTGTGATCTCATGGTTCATGGGTTTGAGCCCTGCATTGGGCCCTGCACTGATGGTGCAGAGATGCGTGAGATTCTCTCTTTCCCTGCCCCTCCCCCAGTTGCTCATGCTCTCTGTCTTCCTCAAAATAAATAATTTAATTAAAAAAACCCCAAAGAACTACTGAATGGAGAAGTATAGTATATAAATTGACAGATGTCAAAACCTAAGAAATCTCTGGAAGACCTGCAGTTTGATACATGCTACTTCCTTCAACTCTCTCCAAAAGCATTAGCCTTTCATCTTTCTCTACCTCTGTGAGAAGTTAAAGTGAATATTATTGGCTATAGCTGTTGACTTAAGGAATAATTTTTCATCTAACCAACAGTTATTCACTGGCACCCATAGTGTTATGGGTAGTATTTTAATAAGTAGAGTCTGACCCTTTAAGGATTTTATATCTTTTGTTACCTATTCATTATGTTACCAAATGGTTATTACAAGCAGAGTTTTCCTGATTGCAATAGGAGAAAATCTTGAATCTTCTTTATTCGTTGAAGCTATGTGACAGACTATCTTGTGATGTCTGTTAAATTCATATTGCCCTGGCATAATCAAAATGATAGTTTTAAACATTGAAATGTAGTTAGTGACAGTACAGTTGGGAATTGTTTTAATAATTTAGTTTCAGCATTCTTGTGAACTAATTCGTCTATTTTATTAACAATCTGGGAGAATTAAACACAAATAGATTGCAGTTTTAATAAGCATTGGAAAAATTCTTAAGATGGGTGTTACGAGCCTTTTTGTTGTAATTATTTTAGAGAGAGTGTGAATGGGGGAGAGGGGCAGAGGGGGAGAGAGAGAATGTTAAGCAGGGTCCACGCTAAGTGCCAAAGCCAATGTGGGGCTCAGTCTCACAACCCTGGGATCATGACCTGAGCTGAAGTCAAGCGTCAGATGCTCAACTGACTGAGCCACCCAGGTGCCCCTCTTATGAGTCTTAATAGCAATTTTTATTACATGTTGGGGCCTAAGTTTTTGGTAAAATGTGATACTGATACTTTAGGAAAGTTTTATGTACAAATATTTGCTTTATGCACAACCAAAATACAAGTGGGCTATTGACTAAATTTGGCCCCTGGATGTATTCAGTTTCCTCCATAGATTGAATCAACATTTAAAATTATGACACTCGTGCAGAAGTCTGGATTTCAGACTTTTCTTATAGGATCATACCTGGTACTTTGAGCCCATACTACTGTTTGGTATGCTTTGCAGCGACTGCCCTTTTTAAATTTTTTTTTTTTTCAACGTTTTTATTTATTTTTGGGACAGAGAGAGACAGAGCATGAACGGGGGAGGGGCAGAGAGAGAGGGAGACACAGAATCGGAAACAGGCTCCAGGCTCTGAGCCATCAGCCCAGAGCCCGACGCGGGGCTCG